TCCTCTTCGCCCCCATCTCCGCCCGGGAGCCCCCCCCAAACAGCCTCCAACCACTCCCTGGAGCCTTGGCAGGCTTGGCGGCGGCTTGGCTTTGCACCCACCTGCCCCCCAGAACCCTGGCGGCTGCCAGGGCCAGACGAGCAGTGGGTGGGCAGAGTCTGCTGTCTGGAGGCGGANGCGCCGCATCCGTAGGACCCGCACCCGCAGGCGCTGTCACAGCAGAGAGGGGCGGATTTCTCCCCGGCCCAGGACTGGCCTGTGGGTGGGTGCGGGCAGGGACCTGCAAGGGGGGGGGAGGCACCGTGGAAGGACGTGGGTGGGATCGTCTGCGGAGGGAGGCGAAGACCGTCTGAGCGCCGGCCCCCGGGGGGGGGCAGTGGGTCCTGCGGGGGGTGTCCCAGGCTCTCCTCTTCGCCCCCATCTCCGCCCGGGAGCCCCCCCCAAACAGCCTCCAACCACTCCCTGGAGCCTTGGCAGGCTTGGCGGCGGCTTGGCTTTGCACCCACCTGCCCCCCAGAACCCTGGCGGCTGCCAGGGCCAGACGAGCAGTGGGTGGGCAGAGTCTGCTGTCTGGAGGCGGAAGCGCTTCCCGGCTGCCTCCTTCTGTTGCTTCGATGGGGGGAGGGGGAGCCCCCCCACCCCCGGGAAGACTGCTTCAGCCCCCCCTCCCTCCTGTCAGGAAAATGTTTGTACTCTGGTTGTTCCACCAAATCTGCCAGGAAATTCAAGATTCTTATTAAGCACACAGACTTTCTAACGGTAGATAGCTTTGCTTAAAGTAAAACATCTGTCGGTAGACAGGGCAGCACAATGTCCCGTCCCCCCAGGTGTCTAGCAGGAACCCCCCCCCTTGCCAAGGCAGCTGGACCAAGGTGGCGGGACACAGGTTAGAGGCTTGGAACAGACGGGTTAGGCTTGTCCAGACTTGTCCGGACATGTTCAGACCTCAGCAATTCCACAGTCCCACTTTTTTCTCCTGATGTTTTTAAATGACACCAGCATTATACAGTATATATTAATATGCCTTTTGAAAAAAAAATTACTGCTTGTCAACTCTCTGCCTCTTTCTTAAATAATGTTGTCAACTTCAGCAAGAGTCATCTTTCCGGATGGTTCTGCTGACAGAGGTTGCTTTTCATCAACCAAAGAGTCTCTTCGGCCTTTTGCTCTTGACCCAGGCCTATGGTTTTCCTTACACATTCCACAATGTTCCCACAATCCCTCCTCTTCTTTTTGCTTTGAGCAAAGGCTTCCTTTTTCTTGTCCTCAGCCTAGGACTCTTAAGGCCATCTCCCTTAATTAACCCATAGGCACTGGCACACAATCTATTTCTCTTGGCGCCATCTGCAAGCTTTAAGGGTCCTCTATGCAATCCCCAACTTGGGAATGGAACACTCCTTTGAATACGTTTCACCACCATATGTAGGGCTGGACATGACTGCAATACCACACAGCAAACAACACGGGGTACAGAAGTACTCTTGATAGCATGACGTAGCACTTCCTGTCTCCTGGCCTGTCTGTGTTGGAAAAGACAGGAGTCTCAGGCAAGGCTCCCCTCTTTGTAAGTACTGCCATAAAGCAACAGTAGCTTCTTTTGGAAAGCAAACACAATCCTAGTAAGGTAAGGGTAATCATTATCAGAAAATTTAAAATATACCAACTTACACCAACAAACCAATTAGGAAACCACCCTCCCATTCCATTCAGGATTGTGACTGCTGCTTCTGATCTTTGAATAACAATCTTTGAATGTGTTGAGAATTTTGGTTAAATATGTATTCTCAGGACATAAGCAGAGTTAGGAGATATCAGGTTGCGAAGACACTATAACAATGAGAGAGTAAAATACCAACTTAGTCTATTTACAAATATACAGAGAGAATAGATATTCATATGGCAGCATAACATGACATGGTACAATACACAGCATAGAAAAAAGTGATCTGACTTACAGCAGATAAAATGTCCCCTTTACATTACTTCATTTTCTACTTGCATAAAGTTATATCAGGTACAACGGTTGTACAACATCAAGTCCTAAACCTTGGTACCTAGACCTGAATACACTCAGTACATGACTCAGGTAAACTCAGCCATTTTACTTTCAACTGTACAACATTTATATTTAATATATTTTGAGATCAAAATATCAACAGAATGTATTTGAGAAGGCTTTCACGGCCGGGATCTAATGGTTGTTGTGGGTTTTTCAGGCTCTTTGGCTCTTTGTTCTGAAGGCTGTTCTTCCCGACGTTTCGCCAGTCTCTGTGGCCATGGGCATCTTCAGAGGACAGGAGTGCTACTTCTGTCCTCTGAAGATGCCAGCCACAAAGACTGGCGAAACGTCAGGAAGAACAGCCTTCAGAACACGGCCAAGGAGCCTGAAAAACCCACAACAGCTATTAACAGAATGTTGATCAGGTCCCAGTTAAACCAGTATCTAACCAGGCAGTCAGGCACTTTAACAGGAGTAATGGCAAAAACCAGTAACCACACCCAAAGCTTAAGGAATTTTCATATCTTGGCTGTCTCTTCGGTGGGTTTGGCTGCTTCCCTCTGAGCCCAGGACTTAAGAAGGACCTTGCCAGTGGGAACCAGTGAGGTGCTTCCGGGTTGCAGCCAAGTGAAGAGATGTTCAGGTGATTAGAGGGTCACGGGACCTCAGAAGGTGATGCTCCGGAAGAGGAGCGACACATTCCAAGGTCCGTCTAAACCTCTCCGTGTTGTTGCCAGCCTGGCGTTGATACTTCCTAGGCTGTAAATGACTGTCTTGATGCCAAAACGGTGGGGACAGAGGGGAGCAGAAGTTACTCACTCCCAGCTTGAGCCTCAGTCTCAGACATAGTGGGGGTCCTGTCAGGTGGTGGAGGAGGCTCTTTACGGCAGCGAGAAACAGGAACTTCTGAGTCACTTAAAAGCAGTGTTGGCCATCAGCAAAAGTTGTGGGAAGTCCCAGGGCAGACTCATGGCACCGGTGGAGGGGTTCCTTTGGCAGTACAGAGGCAACCTGAGAATAACAATCTCTGAAACACTTTACAAGGGCACAGCAATGGCCCAACCTTGGGTGTCTTGGAAATGTAACAGGCGAAGAGATGATGCTGGAGTGTGCATGGAGTCTCCTCTTGACCGTGCGCACTGGTTTGGTTTGAATGGAGGTCAGAATGGAGGTCACTTGATTTGTTGCCATTTTCACTTTATTCTTCAGAGTCATACAGGTTGGTGGACAAGATACTGACACCTGTGCTCAAACACCAAGGGTAGACCATTCCTTGTGCATGGCTCCTGAAATGGGAATCCTCATGTTGGAGAGGGCAGAGAAGTGAGGAGTCACAGTGTAATCATTGAAGCTCCTCCAGATGGTGTCTTGCCTGCAAACCAGCCAGCTGTAACTCAGGTGTGCTTCTCCAGACTGGAGGCAGCTCAGCCATAGTGGGAGCTGGATTCTGCTTTTTAAGGAAAGACACTTGAACTCTTCCGCCTGCTGCAGAAAAAAAGGCCTGTAAGCTGAGCACCAGGGACCTTTTCCTTTCCTTTCCTTTTTTTTAAAAGCAGCATTTGTAATGGCCAATTGTTTGGGCCACTGGTTCTTAACCTTGGGTTACTCAGGAGTTTTGGACTGCAACTCTCAGAAGCCTTCACCACCAACTGTGCTGGCTGGGGTTTCTGGGAGTTGCAGTTCAAAAACATCCGAGTAACAAAGGTTAAGAGCCACTGGTTTGGGCCACTGAGAGCAAGGAGCTTAGCAGTGCAGCAGCTCAGACCAGTAACCAAAGATAACTGAAGGATCTTTGTGAAAGGGAAGGGGCAACAAGGAAGCAGGATTCGAAACCGGGCACCATGTTTCTGCCCTCTTTTCTTCTTTTTTCTTTTTT